GGAACCTTGGGTGTGCTGGAATCTTTTGCAAGTTATTTTTGTTCTGTTTAACCATGACTGAATCTAACTTTATTTGGAACATAAAGACATCTATAAAACATATAAAACCTTATAAAAACCTTTTCATTGGTCAATTTCAAGTTTAACTTTGCCTCAGAAATAATCATTGCTTCATAAACCTCTGTGTGAGTGTGTGTGGTTTATTTATTTATTTTTAAAGTACCGATTTAAATACCGTTTAGGAACCGGTACCGTTTTGAAAGTATTGATTTAGCACCGGTATCGAATTAAACCCTTTCAATACGCAACCCTACTCCCAATAGATCTGAAACAGGTGACTGTGGAAAGAGATGTTGGGGCTTCCCTGCTCAGTCTGCTACCCCCACRTGACCCAACTCTAAAACAAGTGACAGATAATGGACGATAAATAGAAGTTAATAAATGATAATGCTTTGGTTAATAAAAATGTTTTGTACACAAACACATGCAGGCTAAAACTTTATTGCCCACCTGTTACTTTTAGGCAGGAGACAATATTTGGACATTGTAAAAGACTAAATTTAAGTTCTGCCTGAATATCTTCCTCATTAAACCTACATTTTAATTTTGTGAAATGTTAATAGCCAAATGAGGGGTTGAATAGATAATTACATCAACTCTTAAAAATTCTTGCAGTGTTGGGTCTTTTAAAAAAATGTTTGAAGAAAGTTATTTTAAACAGAAAACAGAAAAGCCCATATGTGCTTTCCTTGTGACAGTGCCAAGAAAACAAACATTTGGCAGAAAGATTCTGTCATCAAAGTTGTCATAAACAAGCACCACTGCTGTTTGGTTAACACAACAGTGTGGCATCTGCATGCAAAATTGGGCTTACTGCTGGCATTAAAATTAGCAGGCTGCTATCGTAAATGTGCTCTACTGGCACATTACAGTTGGCAGTACTTCCTCAGCATGCCGAGGGCCGTAACTCTAAAGACCAAGGCCATCAGAAATAGCACCACATAACTGAGCAGTTACCATAGCAGGACAATATGCATCAATAAAACAGTGGCTCTGCGCTGCCCTTTTAATGACATGCAGAGTGATTTTATGGTTGTCATACATTTTCTAACAGCCTTTTTATGTAACATTTTTACATCTCTATAACAAAATCATCCTGGGGCCAGACAGTGCTGGCTGTGCTCTGTAAAATGGACCATAAAGTTTTCTCCAGGTACAGACAGAGAGCCAGCAACAGTGTCCGGAGAAGGTTAAAATCCGTTGGATTCCGTCAAATGTGGTATTGGCACTAAATGCAGGCACAAATGCCCTCAATGCATATTAAAAGCATCTTTACTCTGACCCTCTTCATCCGTTTACACCAGGTAGCTTAAAAGCAATTCATCCTGAGCCAAGCTGAAGGGTCCCCTGCTGAACATTCACAATGCCACACAAGCAGAAGACCTGGATATTTTAAGGTTAAAATTAAATATTTGTTTGTGCTTATAGTAATTAAACAGTTATCCTTGGGAATACTCTAAAGGAAGTTTTTTTTTTGTTTACTTGTTTAGTATTTTTATACATACAAGTTTAATGAACTCTTTATTAGAATAATTCTCCGCAAAAATATCTTGTTGACATTTTATTAATCTGAATGGATACGTGGCTACAGATTGCTATATGGTGAGTTTCTCAAAAGTTTATAGTTTGTTCTGATTGGTTTAAGGACAAATTGGACCTTCTGGGATATGTAGCATTATATTCACCTAAATAATTGCAGTTCTGATGTTACTTGCAGTGTGGCTGCAGTGGGTGTGTGTTCTACAAATGAACAGGCTCATTGGAAACAGGTGAGCATCATGATTGGGTAAAAAGGGAGCATCCTAGGATGGGGCAAGGTTTATCACTTTGTGAACAACTGCGTGAACAAAACGTCCAAGTGTTCAACTTTTCTCAAAGTACAATGTTGAGGAATTTAGGGATTTCATCATCTGCAGTCCAAAATATCATCAAAAGATTCAGATAACCTGGACAAGTCTCTGCAAGTAAGCAGCAAGGCCGAAAATCAACATTGAATGTCCATGACCTTTGACCCCTAAGGCAGCACTGCATTAAAATCTGAAATAAATAAATACAGTGTATCTATTTGAAGATTAAATATCTTGTCTGTGTAGTGTCTTCAATTGAATATAGATGGAAAAGGATTTGAAAATCACCATATTCTGTTTTTATTTATGTTTTACACAATGTCCCAACTTATATTTACTTTATTTTGCATTGCTGAGTTCCACCCCAACACCCTGGGAGTACAGGAAGTACTTTACTAGGTTATGATTTTAGTTTGTTTGTTTGTTTTACAATTGTGATCTTTGTTTTACAGGATGGGCAGACGTATTGTAGGAGGAGACCCTGTGACTGTGGAGACCCAGAGGAGGATTTGTTCTGCTGTCCTGTCTGTGACAACAGGCCCAGCACACAGTGTCTGGACCAGAGTGGGCGCACGCTTTACCACAGCGGGTCAACTTGGCTGTATGGTTGCCAGCAGTGCCGCTGCATGGTCTGTGCATAGAAACAGTATATGTACTACAAGCACATTCACGTTCACTGCCAGTATAGGCTGTTTGTGTTTTACCAGCAGAAATAAATGCATATGGGAAACTGGATCATTAAATGTGGTTAAACTGCTTGGTTAGAAGAAACTGATTTTATAGAAATCACAGAAACTCTTCAACATGAAGCTTGGAGCTGGAATGTCTGATATGTGTCCCTGATTAGCTGATGAGATAATAACCACTTCACAAAATCAAACTGTCACAACACATCAGCATGTCAGCTGCAACTGAGTCTACATTGATAAACTAACAGGGCACACGCTGTAAAATTTATTATTTTTTTATCCTGCTTTGTGACCCCGCAGGAGGGGGAGGTAGACTGCTGGCCTCTAGTTTGTCCTGCGTTGACGTGCGAGTACACGGCGGTGGCGGAGGGTGAGTGTTGTCCACGTTGCGTCACGGACCCCTGCCTGGCTGACAACCTGTCAGATGACATCCGGCAGACGTGCAAAGACCCCACAGGTGACACTCGCCTCAGCGGGGACACGTGGCACATGCCCAAGTCACCCTGCACTACCTGCAAGTGTAAGGTAAATATAAAGGAGGAGTGGGCAATCGTTTTTCAAACATTTACCCCTGTCAATAAAGTTCTGAATAGTTTATATTAACAGTGATAGTGTATGTTTTAAATGATATTTGGGTTATAACTTTGTACATTTCCAATTAATGTGATTATTGTGGCAAAAAGCCCTGCTGATCTATGTGAAGATAAAAGGCAGTATCTCACTGGACTGTGATTCTTAGAGGTTAGTCACTCAAACTTAACTCAATATTTTTTCAGTCTCACTTATTTCTGGTTGTTCGTAACCAAGTGACCAGTAAGACCTTTGGCCACCTAATTTGTGAGGAGTTTTTGAATATTGCAGCAAAACTGTTTTCTAGGCCATGCACATTGTTTTGTTGCCCTCCTCTGCCCTTATTGGATCCATATTTGCCCGTTTTGTAGGCTACCATTGTTGACAGCAGCCTACAGTGTGTTTTAATCCAGGGTTGCACCGATTGCCGTTTTCTGGCTGATCATCACAGCTTTTTAAAATGTCTGATTAGCCGATATCAACATTTTAAATACCTCACAATGTCGGGCATTATAAGGTCCTAATACACTTTCAGTGTTCCAATTTTCAATTTTATTGAAAGGCACTGAATAATACCCTTGAAACAATACAAACTCATTTTAACAAGTCATTAGGTCGTGCTCACAGCAGAAAAAAAGGGGATAGGGGCTGATTTTCAGACCTTTGTGGAGGTAGACCAGAAGTTGATCTTTTCCGCTGACCTTATCAAACTATCGGCCAATCCCAGATCTCCCAAAATTAAGGAAAAAACTGGCTGATTTATTTGGCACCTCTATTTTAATCTGAAACAAAGGTTGGTGGATTTACAATGTAGACTTGATTTTTGTAATTATTATTTGTGATTGGCGTAGTTTTAAGACCTGGACATGAGGAGAGCTCTCTTCCACACATTGTTGGAGATGCTGGTGACTCAATCAAGGCTGGTCTGAGACATCCACTGACCATTTTGAGGGAAAACTCATCACACAAGTTTTTTGAACATATTCAAAATTTGCATGATAAGCCTTAAAGCCTCTTCAGCTCTCACAAAAAATGGAGAAACCCAGCAAATGTGTGGAAACATTTTGGAAGCTCTTGGCCAAGTAGCCGCCAGCAGTCTGAGCCCAGTGAGATATTACCTAAAGTAATGACTTCTTTACTAGAGAAGGACATCAATATCCCTCTATGTGTGTGGTAATTCAAGACTTTCTGTTCTGTGGACAGCTGAACCACTCAAAGTGCAGATTAATGCAAATGACTCCTTTCCATGACCTTCAGAGTAGCAGAAATTCCAGGTTTTTATCAACCAGAGCCACCAGTTGTTTGAGTTTTGTTTGAATCGATCTAATATGCAGTTTGTCTGACGTGAAGTCAAACATGCATTTTACAACTTCAAGTAACAGTTTTCAGGTTTTGTCGAAAGAAAGAAACTTAATAGCATATGGTGAATTGTGCAAAGATTTGATTCCCCAAATCACAGTGGGAAAAAAAACTACAATAGATAATTTGACAGGTTGTGGTGAACTCCAATTATCCTTTGAGTTTAGAACTCATTATCTCAACTTGATCCTTTTGCCTCCACTTTTGCAACTATTGGTTTTAGCTGTTTTTCAGGAGAAGGGAACAATTAATCACTTGCTGTTCACAAGCAAATTTCTTTAAGCTTTGAAAAAAGAGCAGTTTTCATTAAACCACTGATTTTCAAAAGGCACAGGAGATTGTTTCATATTTACCTACAGATTAATACACAAGTTTTCTTCCCCAAGTCAAACCAGAGGGACAAGGCTTTGATTAAAAATGCAAACAAATTTATCAAATACAGTAATATAAGTGAATCACAGAGGACTGGTTTGAATGTTCTCCTTGTGCTTGCATGGGTTTTCCCCGGGTACTCCGGTTTCCACCACAACACAAAAACATGTAGAACAGGTTGCCTTTAGAACCAGAACTCCATTGAAAAAGAGATCTGCAATGGAATTTGCCTGGATAAAAAATGGTAAAATTAAAAATAACCCACTCTTAATATAAGTGCTCAATATAATGCAAATATGTGAGCACATCTTAACAGATGTTAGGGAAAAAACAGATTTGGCTTTTCTGACACTACACTGATAAAGAAAAACAATAACAATAATTTAAAAATGGTTAAAGATATTTAGATCATTACTTTTCTATTCTGCTTTAGACAAGTTTTAATCTATAGACAATAATTTCAGAAGTATTTTATTCAGGGCATTTTATATAAAAGAAAGGAAATAGGTAAATGTGATCACATACAGTAGATATTAAATAACTTGATAGTGTTGTTCAGTTTCTCTAGTTTATAACGTCTCAGTTCCACATTAAACCACTGGCTGTGCAGCATACAGCATATAATGCAAACTTTAAATATATTCAAACACTATAATAGTTTTATAACTCTAAAGAGCATTTTTGTTTCAAGTGTGATCAAGTTGAACATCACAGACAAAAATGACAGTTTTGGTGTGTGGGTGTGCAGCTGGTGGAGCGTTTATCCTTCAACTGCAGGAAGAAACGTTTGAGTCAGCCTCTGAAATTGATTTTTCTCTGTGAAGCATTAAATGTGACACGTTTAAACACTGTTTATGAATACATTTTGGGTTTCTGAGCAAAAGTATAGCAAGCTATGCTTAAATATATATATTTTTCCCAGTAAACAACCCAATCATTTGAAGCATGTTCTGCATTGAGATAAAAGAGTCAACATGTTTAATATATTTCATCATGCAGTATTTAATGTTCTCTTTCTCGCCCTGTCATGCTCCTGCCTTCAGAACGGGAACGTTTGCTGCTCGGTGGATCTCGACTGCCTTCAGAACAACTAAAACGCTCCTCCTCTCCTCCCATCGCCTCGGGACCCGTCACGCTCTCTCAACCTTCTTTCCGGATTCACAGGACAGACTCGTGCGCACACACACGTGCATGGCATCGTGTGCACAAGAAAAACACACGCTGGACAGACGTGGGGTGTCGGGAGTTGCGCTTTTTTACGCCGCGACTCAGCTCGACAAACAGTGAGCGGGTGTGTGAGTGTGTGTGACTCAGGAGGGGACCTGAGGTCACGGCCACTCTCACCACAGTCACTGCGTTGTGTTTGCGTTCGGTTTTGATTTTCACTCATTGTCTTGAGGTAACTTTTTGTCGTGTCTCAAACCACAAAAAAAAAACAAAAAAAAAAACAGAGACAAACAGCTGGCCACGTGTCGGGTGCGGCATCTGTCCACACTGACTCACCTAAAGAAAAAATCATCACGAACACGTTCATCTAAAATGATTTAGAATGTAAAGAATGTCACTTTAAACGAACATGAGGACTGATCAGTTTAAAAGCTTTAAGTTACCTTTTTTTGGTGATATTTTACCATTTGTCTTTACTCCACATTATTTTATGTCAAGAGTCGGACTGGCATGATTAACAGTGAGCTGTGGACTATACGTTCTTCTTGGATTCTTCAGTCTTCAGCAGCTCCTGATTGAAGTCACAGCTGATGATTTGGATCTTTCTGAGCTCTGCGTATCGTTCCATCATAACCATCAGCATTACTATTATTTTTCTTCCATTGCCACACCTATATATTTTCTTTTTGGCATTGCCCTTTTCATCCTGCATGGCAGCTCCACTGTAGAAACTGCAAATCATGTCAGTAGGAAAGAATAACGAGCGATCATTTCTTCAACTTTTTTTTCAAATACAGTACATCTATAAGTTTATAAGTCTGTGTATGCACTTGGAAAGGTTGTACAGATTGAAGGAATGTTTTATGTTTGTGACCCAGTTGAAGTTGGGTGGACACGTTCAAAGTGTCCACTGGTAGCATTTGGCGAAGGTCCTTAAAATGCCAAACCCTAAATAAATCAGATTCATCACAGAGTGCAGGCTCGGAACTGGGACATCCCTCTCCCAGGCCAGTAACACTTCAGTCTTCAACAATCTCCCTCAGCATCGCTGTTCTCTCTTTGATGAGGATGCCCACCAGATGCTTACAGATACAACAACTCTCTCGTTTTATCAAAAGGAAGCGAAAACAGCGCACAGCCGATCCCTGCAGGTCAGAACAAGCACCAGCCCAAGCTGTTGATTAAACCGCCACAACTCGTGATGACCTGGACTTTCTGCGTCTCCGGGGGCTTTTCTGCTCAGCACCATATGGCTCACAGAATGACAGGGGTGGGTGGAAGAAAAAAAATCTGGAGAGAGTTGGGATAATTAAAGCCATGTCACGCAGCCTTGGATTTGAGTATGCCAGAAGGTCACAGAGTGTTGAATCTGTTTACAGACAGCCAGGCGTAATAAGGCAGAGCAGTCCAGTGCTTCTCCTGCTTCAGTTCACAGCTCTGACACAGCCCCACTCTCCTGCTTTACTTCTTTACACCACACTTCTCTCCAGGATCCACAAGCTTGTCTTAAAAGTGTAAATGTTCTCCCCCAAAGTGTCAGTGTTGTTGTTTCACCATGTCAATTTTCTCCCACAAGACAAAGGAAAAAAGGAAAAGAAGGTTTTTGTTACAAGCACTAAAATGCTTGTTTTGTAGAACTGGCTTTGACCATGAAGCAGTGATTTGATAGCAGCAAAAATCAGATTTACAACATTCTTTATTTAAAAAAATCTCTCTCTTTTTTTTAAAGAGACAAGCTATGTTTCCTTTCAAAGCTGGTTACAAATGTCCTCTTTGGTTTGCTTGAAGCTGCAGCACTTGTACTCCTCCAGAGATAACAATTTGCTTCCTCAGAACAAAAGCAGATTGTATAACTTGAATTAATGTTTCTCCATAAAAAATGAAAGGATGGAATGAACAGCCTGTCTGTTTTCAAGTCAGGGTTTCAGACTAAGATATCATATGCTGGAAATGAAAGCTGCTGTTTCAGTCAGCTCTTTGAAATAACTTTGTGTACAATCTCTTAAATATCTTGCCTGATGTTAGCACTTGGAGTATGTTGTACTACAGTGTACTTTTTACTTTACTTGAGTAATAGTATGATGTATCGCTGCGCTTACTTGAGGAAAATTACGGATTACTCTGCCCATTGTAATTTGTTGGACGGATATTTTTTTATTTCAGCAAAAAGTATGTTGAAGTGTTGTTACTTTTACTTGAGTACATCTTTTGGGTACTCTACCCACCTCTGGTTGTGAATGACTCAGCTACTACCACACCCAAATTTAGTTCAGTATTAGAAAATTTTAATGGGATATAGCCAATTTTGTGGACGCTGATACTGAATAGCTTTGGCAGCCATCTTGAAATTGGTCGGCTCCAAAAGTTGATCAGTTGTAGATGGAAAACCAATGATTATTTTCTGAGAGCATCATTGAAATCAGTCTAGTTGACTCCAATAGGTAAAGCCCAGAGGTCTATAAAGTACTTGAAAAAAGCAACTAAGTAAAAGTAAAAATACCTCAACAGAAAATGACTTTGGTAAAAATAAATATCACTGATGAGAATAATACTTAAGTCATAAAACTATTCACAAAAATTGGGAAAGTAAAAGTAAAAGTACTTTTCCACGCACATAAATTTACTGAACCAAACTGGCTACACAAAACTAAGTTGAGTAAATTGGTTAGTTTCTTTAAAATGAAATATGTATACTGCCTCAGATTTACTATACTATGTTTTGTGGGAATAGTTGACAGGATTTGCTTGAGCAAATTCATAATTTTTAGAGTGCATAAACAACTCCTTTCATGATGAGGTCAGACAGATTTAATTTTGTAATGCGTAACTGAGTGTTAAACTTTAAAGTAAAGAAGTAAAAGTATAATGTTTAGGTTTTAAAAGTAACGAAATGAGTAAAAGTCACAATTTAAAAAAATACTTGGTAAAATTACAAATTCTCAAAAAATTTCTTAAGTACTGTAACAAAGTAAATGTACCTAGTTACTATAAACCTCTGGCAATGCCACAGTTTTCAACAAATACAGTATGTTGTGTATTGTATTATATTTGAAGAATGTATTGCAGATGATGCTCAGTCACTACCAAACTGCAATGTGTTTTCTAAGATCAGTTGGCTGTGGCGACCATCTTGAATTCAGCTGAATTCAAAGGTTAATCAGCTGTATGGAAAAGTTTCAGTAGAATCCATTCAATGGTTTTCAAAATATTTAGCTAACAGGCAGAGTTCATTCCAATGGCAAAGTTTTAAACATCTCACTCATTCAGTTGCTGCAAAGAATATAAGTTGGGAATCAGTCTCAGCTACTACCAGCATTAATTTTAGCTACATCTATTTACGTACATATATGTAATTTTAAGTTTCATGAAAGCCCATTCAGTGATTCATGATTTTTTTTCTTTTGTTTGTTAATTTTTGTTAAAAATCAGTCAGATGAAAAAAATAAGTCAGAAACTTGTGCTCCACCACCTTTGTCTTTGGCTGCAGGCGATAAAAACAAGTTCATTAGATAAAGAGGAGAGGAACACATTAGTGCATTAAAACAATCACATTAGCTCAAATGAGGGTTCAACAATGGAAGCATACAACCTTAAATAACTGCACGTCTTCAGCTGAAACAACTCCCTTCACATTAATGCACACTGGAAAAGTTGGGTGGCTTTAGCTAAAATAGAACAGCTCTTATTCCCCCTACAAATTTAGATCTACAAACAGATACAGTACATTTTGCTCCAAACTGGAACAGGAACCAGCTTTAAGGGTGTCCTCCTGATTATACATCTTTTTGAATTTTTTTTTTTTCAGTTCTGAACTATAAATTCCCTTTATGGGATCAAAAAAGTATCATTTGTTCATTCACTCTTATGCAGAGATTTGATTATAAACTCAATGTTACCTCTTTCCGCGAGTCATTTTATAATTTTTTTTCACTTTTTTGCCATGCTTGTTTAAAAACAAATGTAAACTTTGCTTCTTATTTGTACCAAGAGAACATGATTGGTTTAGTTTGACAAACTGCATGCAGAATGTTGCACTAGCACCATCTTTATTTTCCAACACTCATTTTTTGTGTCTCACCAGCACGTTTCTCTGCACATGTCTTTATTCCAACACATGTTGTCACACTGAAAATCTGTTGTGCATATCACACCCACGCAATGAAAAAAAAAAGTAATTTGAATGGCTTTAATTATTGATTTTGACAGCAACCAAAAGGAAACATTTGTACAAAAGATCCCATTAGGTTGCTCTGTCGATTAATTTGATATGAATTATGACTACTGTACAAATCTGTGTGTAAATGTTTTACATGCGGACGATATGAAAAAAATTATACAGTTTTTTTATTAATATTGTGTTTATGGATAATGTGTTAATTTTAGTGAAATTATTTTCTTTTTGTGTATAATTTAGCTGTAAATACTGTGTAAATGGAAGGGTACTGTAAAAAAACTAAATTATGTGAATAATTCTCACTAGCACAGTTCCTTAGGATCTGAGTGTCATAAGATTATTAGGAAAGAAGCAACATTTCTATTGTTTTTACTATTTCTTTATTTTTGTATTCTTGCCTTAACCCCTTTAGTATCAATCATAGTTTGTCTTTTCATTGTTTTAGGATTTGGCTTGTTTGTATCTCTGAATAATGTCTTTCACTAAAACTCGACAAATGCAAACTTTGAAAGTTAAAATGAGTAACAAACATTTTTTAGATATCTTTGCCAGCTGAAAACAAGGTGAGAAGGTCTATTCACTGCATTAACAAGATGCTTTTTTTCCAAGTTCATTTACTTTTTAATAATGCTTTTATATGATCTGAACCACAAGATGGAAATATACACGCGTAATGTAGTGTTGAAAACAAAAGTTGTGTTTTGTTTCAGTTGATGCCAGTGACATTGTGTTACTCCATTTGTTTTAGAGACAAAACGAAAGCAATTTCAGATCTAGCTCCTGATGTGTTTTGTTTCCTGTAAGAACTTTGATGAAGAACTATTAATTTTACAAATAAGAGTGGCCAATGTACTTTCACTCAACGGGTTGTGTCATTTGAAGACTGTGTCGTGATAAGAGTTTGCTGTAAACCAATTTTTCAGTTAATAAATATTTCAGTTGTTTAGTTTATCACTTTACTTGCTTTGAGTGTGATGATGACAACTGGGAGTTAAAAAAAACACTGTTTGGAGTCTGACATGAAATGTGCTGAACGTGGGCTGACACGTACGTTTTTGTCCTTGGTATACCATCAGCTCATCAACGACGACAGCACGTGGTTCTAACAGGAGCACTTATAAGTTACATAATTATATGAATACAAACACTCAACAATATAGAGTAGAGTCTGCTAATTTACATTTCTCTGCAGCATCGGAATCAATAAATCTATAATGTTTGGGCAGAAACCAACAGTATGCTGAAGTTTCACGAAGAAAGAAAGAAAAAGATGAAATGGTATTTCAATTTCAAAATGTTTAAAGAAGAAGTTAGTATGAGCTGCAGCTATAAATGATAAATGCTATAACTTATGCAACACCTTTTTTAACTTCATTCTGGTTCTGTGAAATGCTTTTCAGTCTTTCTTATTCACCCATTCACAGAAAGAATGCTTTTCTATTCTAGTTTTACACTGTAAACAGAATTGTTTAATAAGCATATTTGGTGCTGTGGGTGTTGGAACAATCCAGCATGCTGACTGGGGATTGAACTCATGACTAGAAGATGACCTCCCTACCAGTAAGTTAAAGTAATTTATTGCATGGTAACACTGGTACATGGGTATTGTGTGCATTGTCAAACTGAAAACTACTTTTTGTAAAATACCCAATGCTGAAAAGAAAAGTTTGAAACATGAACAGAAGATAAGGTACATACATGTTGGGTGCACAAAAGCACATCTTGGCATTCAAAACAACTGGATTATTTTCAGTTTAGTGATAAAACTAAGTTTGGCGATACTGAAGAAATTTTAGTCATGTTAGATACTGATTTTGAAAGCACTACACCATTTCCATAGTTTTCCTTTTTAAGTATTAATTCTTGCAATCTATTGTTTGACTATTGTTATGTCTTGATTAAAATAGGTTTAGTTACATGCCTGAAACACCATGACAACACATAATAAAACCGTTTATAAAAAACATCAGGAGAGCATTGCTGTTCAGAGTGTCTGTGATTCAGCCGTAGGCCTGTAGTGGGCGTACCAGGCACTGAAGAGCCATGTATTTATAAACCGGGACTTCCGGTTTTCATTCAGTGTTGGTTTCATGTTTGCAC